TTCCTGTGCCCAATTTGTATCTTCCCATGAAGACCCAAAAGTGTAATTTGCTCATTTCTCTGTTGAAGTACAACTGACATTTGTTTAAATTAAATCATTTATCCACCTAACAGAGAACTTGGCTTTTTTTTTTTTTTCCTTTTTCCCTCCTCACATTCACCTACAGTGTCAACAAAACCAAGAGACCTTCAGACACAAGAAACTGAGTAGGCAATAGATGACTTCCAAACATCTAGGAATCCAACCTCATGCCTATTCTCCTGCCCTCCATGCCTACACATCACCCAAACATTTGTTCACACACTCTAAACCCCCCAACTTCAAAGACTATGCATGGCAGCTGAGGAATGAGGAGATGTAGACCTGTCAGGTAAGCTGCACTCCAAGCAATACAGCTTCCACCCCATGAATTATTCCTGACACTGGCAATGGAGTTGTTGCAAGCACTCTGAGCTATCAGCTTGACTGTTCCATAATTCTGTGTCTTGACCATTCTTTGTTCAAACAATTTCTGCAGCATGGGAAAGCAGTCAGCTGTTTTCCCTTTCCAGCCATTAGCCCAAAGAGATAGCATCTCCATTATCCATGCAAGTCCCTTGCATCTACTCACCTACAAGTTGATCTCGTAGGTAAGAGTGCCTGTCCCCAGGTTACACCCAAAATGTTCATTATTACAGGCTCAGGTGGGGTACATTTTTCCCCCCAGGGTGTTTCTGGGTGGGGCCTCAAGCTCTTATTGCCCAACCAAGACCTTTTGTATTTGAAGTCAGCATCCAATAGAATAGTTACACTGAAAAATATATCTGTGTTCTGTAACACAGGAAAAATACACGAACTTGTCCATGCACCTGGTCTAGCCACCATTAGCAGTGCTGATCATGGCATCTATCTTCTGAACTTAGGACAGCTTACAGGAAATGGCCAAAACTATCAACAAAAATAAAGATCCATTAGAGCAATAAAGCAAGATACAGCAGCATTTGAGAGGATTCCCCTTTATTGCTGCATTATTAAATCACAAAGCGCCAGGCCACATTAATAAATTGCTTACCACTGCAGGTTTTCTTCTGCCTTTATCTATGCAAGAGAAGGTTCATGAGATGATGACAATGACTGTTATTATTATTACTACTGTTTTGGTATACGCATCCCCTGCTGCATGCACCACTCTGAAAAGCATGCATCCTGTCCAGTCTCCTGGGAATGATACATCTGGTTCCCATCAACAACATTTCATTTATTGATTACTTTTTTCTTTAGTACACTGTTAATACTGGAAAGGCAGTCAAGAGACTTGTTTCTCTTCTGTGCCAAACGTATTTTCATTATTATTTCTTAATGCATTAAAGTGACCTGGGAATTGGCTTTCTTTGTGGTCTCCAACAACTCATTGAATCTTTTTTTGCTGTTTCTTATATTTAAAAAAAAAAAAAAAGAAAAAAGAAGATAATCCTTCCCTTGTAGCTACATAGTGAGAATAAAGGTGTGTGAAACTTTTAGAAGGGATGGAAGGAGGAAGTGCTAAGCTGAGAGGTCTATTTTCCCAGTCACTCACATTGTAGGAAGAGAAATACAAAGAGGAAGGGTGCCAGACCTTGTATAAGCTGCTGTGGCATAATGTTCAGTTGTCATGTTTATCCCCTACAGAACAAGTAACACACACTCTGAAGGATATTTTATTTTTGCATTGGCTGCCAACCATCATGTGCAAAGTTTAAGCTTCCAGAAATGCTGTAGCTAGCTTTAAAAATCCAGAGTCTGCACAAGTCAAATAATAAAACTGGGGAAGCAGAGGGGAAGGGCAATGTTTTGAAAACTATTGTAATCGTTCATGGCTTAGTAGAGTAAAATGAACTCCTTTCAGCCCATGTGGCCTTGGGGGTACTGACAAGGCTCACACAAAATAGTCAAAGTCTGCAGTAAGGAATGGGAGGATTTGGGCCAAGTCTTTACCAAGTAACAGCCCTCAACCCTCTGCAGGACTCCTGCTGCTGTGCAAGATGGATTGCCAGATGAGGTAATTTTCTGCATGTTCAGGAGTCCTTGATGACTAGGAACTTTTCCTTAGCATGCTTTCAATGTCGTGGAACTGCAATCTTCTTGCTATATCTAAGGGAGTCTCCCCATCCTGAAATAAACAGATGAAATACATTGCAATATGATAGCTATGGGTCAAGAACAAAGAGCTTTCCCAAATTTGCCACCCAGATGCAGTGCTGTTCTGCGTAAGTTTCACTGTGACATCCTTGCTCTAAAACAAAGGTTTCAGAACGTGCTGGGTCTAATACTGCTCTCACTGAAGCCAGGGGCAGAGTCCTCCCCTCCAGTAGTGACAGCCATTCCACTGTTTCCTGGGGCTAATGTCCAAAGGCAGAGCTGAACTAAGCTAAGCAAAGACGTGATTTCAAGAGCAACATGGGCAATGCATTGCTCACCTCAACTCAGTAATGCAGATACTCCCAGGTCAATATTTATTTGGACAACATTAGAGCTTTTCTGATGACAGAAGCAGCTTGACTTAGCACCTCTCAGAAGAATGGTGTCCAGTGGCATAAAAAGCACCTAGGAAGGCTCTTACCCTGCAGCCTGCATCTTAGAAACAACTGTAGAGCAGCTCTGAGTTAAGAAATGGTACCATAAAGATAGCTAAGAGATCTGTCGATCCAGCGGACATGCAGGCAGTGTTTACTGGTAGAAATCCAGCAGTAAAGGATCTGGATTTTAAAGTTGCTCTTGCCAACAAAGGCAATGGAGCAAACTTTGCTTTATACCACACAGCAAACTAGCCTGCTGCCAGGAAGCTGCGTACTCTTTTTTTTTAAACTACTGCACACCAGCTAAGGCCTACAACATACTGGTTCACCATCATGGTAAGGAAATACAGTTAACAACTTCACCTTCTTACCTGATTCTTTACAGAAGTGTCTGCGTGAGCTTCAAGCAGTAGAGGTATGACTGCCTGGTTTTTCATTTCACAAGCATAGTGAAGGGCTGTGCTACCAGACTTGGGAAAGAGAAGAAGATGAATTTTAGTTCTATTACTTCTTTAGGCAAGTACGACTACCTGTAGCTGTATCAGTTTCCCCCTAACAGCTGGATGCAAAAGACACATATAATTTCCTGCCACAACACACTAGCCAGTAAAACAAATACATTCTCATAAGAGTCACGGGAACAAAAAAATCATTCCTCCCTCAGGATGCAGCTGCTAAACCAGGTCTGATACCTTCAACAGGAAGCCAATAGTTCTTCAATGATTTCAGAAGATTCCATGATCTTTATCTCAATAACTGTGTGTTAAGCAATACTGTTTGCTGACACTTCAGTGTTTTAGAATTTGGTGCTGCTAAAATTGGGGGTTGTCCTTTTCTACCTTAGAGGAGAGGAGCACTTTAACCACACCCAGGTAGGCTAGTGGATACAGAACTCTACACATGGCAGATCAGCACACTCTGAAGATCAAGAGAAGACACAGGGTCTAGCATTGTGGCATGACCTTTGCCCACAAATCTGCTCCAAGAACTCATAAATGGCGATAAACTCAGACCCTTATATGACTAGAATCTTTACAGAATCAGGTATTTAATACATAAGTATCTAAGTATTTCAACCCAGCTTGCCTGGATTCTCTTAAGAAGGCATTGGTCAGAAAGGGAGAACCAGTTGATCAGTGGAGAATTATTTCTGTGTACATTACAAAACTGTTGCCTAAGTGTCAAGGGGAAGCACTGAATCCTGCCACATGACAGTCAATTCAGTCCCTGATCCTCCTTCTGAAAGCAGGACTATGTTTCCAGAAGATTCTGAAGTCTGTTTTTAGTAATGTTGTGTGCATACAAACCACATTTGCATTTGTATAAACCCACTTACAAAGTCTGTAGCATTAACATCCACTCCAGCTCTCAGCAACATGTTGATCAGGTTTTCATTCTGTTTAGTCTTTGAGACCTGTTTGGTGCAAGAGAAAGAGTAACATAGTAAGACAGTTCATCTGCATATAATACTAACTAGATTTTTGCTAAATACTGCATTTTTTTCCAAAAAGAAGAGTGTCTGGCTTCTACAAATGCCAGACTGATGCAGTGATACAATTCTGTTCCTTCACTATATTCACAGCAAAATCCCTGCTTCCTCTGTTGATCTCCATAAGTCCTTGCTTTTAAACAGAGCAGTCCATATTCTATACAGCTTCCTGGCCTGAAATACTGCCATGAGAAAGGTGATAAGGGGAAAGGGAAAGGTCTTTCCTGCTTCCATCCAGACTCACCATGAGAAGATATCCAATAAGCATAACTGGCATGAGGATTATGATGAGCACATAGTCAAGGAAGGTAAACCGTTTTCTCACAGCATAATGCAGACACGTGCGGTCTTTCTAAACACAAAATAACTCTGATTAGTACCAGAATCAGTGATCTGATTATATTTGTTTAATATTGACAATGGGAGACCATTTTATATTTCAAAAGCTTTCTTTTAGGTTATTTACTAGAAATATTTCTCTGATTTTCAAGCAGAAACAGGCACATGCATTTTGCTTCCTTCAAGTAGAAGCACATTCAAGACATTCAGGCTTATGGAAATTGGGCTACGTGTGTAAGAAGGACGTGGGATCCAAAGGATTCCACGTGTATGACTGCGAACTTGGACATGGCTGCAAAGGGAAAGAGGGCAGAGGGGAAATTTTATGTGGGTA